TCTGAATATTCAGTCCAGTATGTTTTACCATTTTCTCTTACAATAACCATGATTTTTCAACTGACATGGATAAAGCCATTCTTTTCTTTTGAATTTAATACTCCAGTGTGTCCAAAATATTATACGTAATTATCTTTAAATGAGATTTTAGTATATTTTGCGAGTATAGGGACCTTTTTTATGTGAGTTGTTGTTCGAAACTGTAGCTTTTGTGTTGTATTTAAGGATATTTTTTTGATAAAGGCAACTTTATCTGCCACACCATTTCAAAGCTGACTTGTTCTAAAGTTATGCTCAATTTTTCTTTGGTTGTTTCTACATGGTACAGTGTACGTGTATGTTAAACAACCTTCAAGTTAATAAAAGATAATTAGAATAATTAATTTTAATGAAGTAATTCAGTGTGTTTAGATGTACAAGGCTATCAAAACGGAAGTCTTGATGTTTGATTTTGGCCGTATTACAAAGCTAGAGCAAAGACCCAGCTCTATGGTAGACTATGCCAGATAAGAAAAGACAATGTTGCTAAGATAAAATACTAATTATCAGAATTATGAAAGTGCATGTCTTGTAATTAAACAAATAAATGAACTGGGGTGGGGTTTTTAAAAAATGAGACTTTCAGATTATTATTCTAGTGCTCTATTAACTGAGCTATCGAGCCCTATGTTTGCATTTTTCAACTTTACATGAATTACAAGCTACCATATTTGATTGTGTATTTTATGTTTACATGTTAATTTGAGTATTCATATGGAAATGTCATGTACATGTACAGTGACAAATCTGCAAAAGAAATTTTGAAATAGAATAATTACATAATCAAAACAAACGCACAAGCAGTGCTGCAGTGCTCTGCTAGAGTGGGCGGGGCTATATTTACATATATTTGAATATTCAGTGTAAGTATGTGTTACCATTTACTCTTACAATAACCTTGATTTTTCAACCGTCATCAATAAAGCCATTCTTTTCTTTTGAATTTGGTACTCCAGTGTGTCCAAAATATCATACGTTATTATCGTTAAATGAGATTTCACTATAATTGGCTCGAATAGGGACCTTTTTATGTGAATTGTTGTTCGAAACTGTAGCTTTTGTGTTGTATGTAAGGAATTTTGTCGATAAAAGCAATTTTTCTGCAATGATTGACAGCTGACTTCAAAAAGTTATGCTCAATTTTTCTATGGTTGTTTTTACATGGTACAGTGTACGTGTATGCTAAACAGCCTATTAGTTAATTAAAAGAAAATTAGAATAATATATTTTAACGAGGTAGTCAGGTGTGTTATTAGGTAGGTGTACAAGGTTACTTACAAGTAAATCTTGGTGTTTGATTTTGGCCGTATTAGCAAGACTATACAGCAAGGACCCAGCTCTATGCTGGACTATGCCAGATTTGAAAAGACAATACGTGGTTAAGAACAAATACTAATTTAATCAGAATTCTAAAAGAGTAAGTTTTGAAGTTAAACAAATCAATGAACTGGGTTGGTTTTTTTTACCTTGAGACCATTGGATTACAAGTTAAATACTCTATAAACTGAGTTATCGAGCCCTATGTTTTCATTTCTCCAAAAGTTATGTGTACATGATCTATATATGAGCAGAGTTTTGGGTACAGAGGTGGGGCTGTACATATTTATATTTGAATATTCATACGTGCAGTGACAAATCTGCGAAAGAAGTTTTGAAATAGAATAGGTACATTTTGAAAACTAAACTTCGAAATTTTGAAATCGGCCGTTTAAAATTTTGAAACAAATCAATAGTAAACAAACAATATTTTGAAATATCATTTCTGGGTCAATTCAGGGAGTCTCATTGCTATATTCTTTCAGATAATTTTCAACAAATTCCACTGAAAAGGTGAGATCCCTGCAGCTGTTTGGAAAATAAAAATTGTCAAGTACCTTTTGTTTTCTTCTGAAATTCAAGCAGATAACATCATCAAGCAAAATTGTCTCTTGACTAAAACCAGCTGTACAAGCCCTGATATAAAAACAAACGTAATACATTATTAATTTTAGCCAAACCTTGTATTGACTAACCAAATTAAAGTCACCCCCTCGTGAATTTCCCAAGCAGATTTTTTTTCTCCTTAAGCCCCGCTGTAATTAAAAATGTCCACAGTCATTTTACGAACAGCGAATCTTCCCACGAAAGCGACGGATTCTTTTTTGAGTGCATAGAAACCTAAATCAATGTCTCTCCAATTATCATAGTAATTAAACCGTCCTGTGAGATAACGGGGGCCTTTTGTTGCTGAGGCAGACGGCACTTAGTAACATGTCGATAAACGTCTATTGTTGTGGGGCTTCGGACACTTTCATTCACTGTGCTCATTAACTTGAATGTTTTCAGCAAATAAGGTAAGGTTTCATAAATGTAAATGTTATAATGAGGGCGGGTTTTAGAAAGTGATGATATGGATTTTGGGAGCCTTAATATGTATTGGATTAAAACATGTCAAACACAGTAGGGCCTATTGATAAGATTGATTTTTAGAACATGCACGTTTTCTCGGGACTGGTTTAAAAAGATGATCATTTAATTTATTTCATACCGGTCGGTATGTAGTTTGAAATCAATGTCACCTGACCTTTTTAAGGAGCATTTCAGATTGTTCTCAATCAGACCGCATATCCTGTAGATGTACATGTACACGATGTAGGTTTACGACATTGTATGCAGTTGTACATTCATGGATAACATCCATGCATAAAATCTTGTACCTGTATATTACATTGATGATGAAAAAAAAACATCACTTGCACTAAAACACTTTTTCACTAACAGTTTCAATAAGTGTCTTAAATTTTAGAGAACATTTGCAGACCACTACCTTTCAATTAAATTAAAAGGCATGTTCATGTATGTGCAAGTAATAATTCATCACAATTTGTACTGTTTCATATTTTCAAAATACATAAATGTGCACCAAAATTGGAATTAGGACAAATTTCAAACTTATTCACACCTCCGCGCATGCTGACGGAGTAGATTGTTATTGCAAGGAAATTCCGAAGCTTCTTGATTACTCGGGAACGTAACGAGTTTGGCCTGAGGCAGTTATATACTTTCATTAATATTTCATCTACTCCCCGGTCCTGGGAACATGTGTGAATATGTCACGTGGAAGGATTGGGTTCATTAGTGATACATTTGCAACTGTATTTTCTTTTTCTTTTTCATTGAGTTGCCGATTTGCGCATCGGACCATGTGCCATATACTAACAGAAAGCCACCTTAAGGGACTGCAACCAATTTGCTCAAGGTGGAAAGCGAACAGAGAATTAAGAAATGAATGTAAATGTTCACAGGCTTTATTATAAATTTATGTTGTTACGGGGCATATTTGCACTTTAAGTGTTTTGTGGAAATGAAACTTCCCCTCAGCAATCGACCCCCCTGTCTGCCAAATGGACTGCTCCACCTGTGGTAATTTATTCATGATCTTCCTGGCAAGGGTTTGAGAAAAAAAAGTATTAAAAGAAGGGTAGTGTGTCTTCTCCTTGCTAGTATTTTTGAAAATTAAGTCGAAACATGAAGAAAATTTGAACAATTGAAATAAACTATTATAAATTTATTATGGACATGTTTATACAAATTTATTGAGGTTTCATTAGCAATGCCCTTGAATGCCCTTATGTAACAAGTCAAATAATGAACCATTATGAAAATTTACACTCATCAAAATGAAATTTGTCTCGAATCAAACACAGCATTAAGACGTACATGTACAATTAAGATAGTTGTGTGCTTCTTATTGATATTCCTCATTGGTTTTGGATTCTTTATGCATAGAGTGACCTTTCCGCAAAAGCACTGAGTTGGACAGCATTCGCATGGCTTAGTCATCCTGGGATCAGAAAATAAACATAGCAGATCTCCATAAATTTGTCATTGTATGTACACGTACTTCATAAAATCACAGGAAATTGGGGATTTGAAAATATTTACTGTGGGACTACAAATTTATGCAAATATGATCCAGGCTTAAGTTCTCATAATTTTGAAAATGGGGAAAAAATTGTGAGGTTTAGATGAATAAAAAAATTGTTAAACAGGATTCAATTCTGGGAACTTTGAAGTATCATCATCTACTGATGAATAATTTTTAAAAAAAACACCGTTCTCAGTGAGGTTTGTGGTGTCCTGTATTTTACAAAAATCAATTTTCGGTTGAACAAGAAAATTGACTTAAATGGGATATGAACTTGCAACTTCTCACCAGCGGGGTATAGAGCACCACTTCATGAATCTTGTTAGTCTAGCTAGAATATGGCAATATTTTTTAACCTAATTGTCAACATACCGGTACATGAAACCATACAGTAAAGCCTTACATTAATACATGTATATGTTGATTTATAACTACCGGAATGCGTATATCTTCACATTTGTTGGCCATGTGGCCTTGGACATGTAAGACATAACGTGACCTTTACAGAGAATGACAAGGAAATTACAAGTACATGTACATGTACCGGTAATTTATTGAAGTTTTTTACCTTTGAAATTTCCAAAAAAAAATTAAAATATGAAATGACAGTAGGGACATTTGTGTATTTCATTAATGTACATTTGTACACGTGTGTACATACATGTATGTACATTGCATTACATGTCAAAATTTCAATATTGCATGAAGCTTCAGCCTCGTATGTGATTGCATCAGTAATACGGAGAGAATGTCTGACATGAACCATGCTCCAATGTTTATTATATACCAACTTAACCTTCCCACAGGGCCACGGTATAAAAAATGTTCGGTATGATGTCTGAATGTTTCCCGTCCATGAAACCTAACCTCCCCCATAAAGCCGAGGGAAACATTTTGATAAAAACTGTCATCACTCGTCGATGCTTGAAACCGTCCTCGGAGATGAGATAGAGTCAATTTTCATACAGGTTGATCGTGGTCATCGTACACAAGTACACCGAGTCCATGTACATTACCCGTGATATCTTATGCACGATCCTTTCTTTTCCCACAGGCCTGAAGAAGAAGAAGAAGCAGAAGGAAAAAAAATTCTAGTGACTGGTTATGTAGCTGGCTGCGTACAGACAAGGTGTGTGTGTGAGTGACGCGTACGCGGTCAAATCCCTCCTCATTATTACATCGTATCATCACGGCCGGGCTGACTCAGTCCAGCTTTTATAGCTCAGTTGGGAGCGGCGGTCGTTGAAGGGTGTTGGCTGGGCCGGACACTACGTGCAGGACGGAAGGGAAAGAGAAAGACTGTGAGGCTAGTGCAAGGAGCGTCTTGTTGAAATTTCAAGATGGCTGAGACATTGAGAATTTCCAGATATGATGACCATCAGATCCAACAGATTCACAAAATGAGTAAGTATAATTGTTAATGTTCATGAGACGCAATTTCACTTTTTCTCAGTAACAGATGTTTAATTGAATTTGTAAAATTATCTCTACTTTTGTTGACTGTCATCTTTATTTATGTACACTGTTGAAATTCTCGAATTGAATTATATTGTGACATGGTTACAGGTAGCAAAACAAGCTTTTCCTTTTATCAGTGACACTGTTGAATTGAATTTTCAAAATTACAAAATGTAAATCTGTGGTTTATTCTGTTCATTGCCATATTGATTGTACGCTGTGATTTCCGTTCATGTATTGAATTTCAATATGGAAATGATTTGTACATCAGTGTGTTTGTGAATTTCAAGTTAATTTAGTCAGCATTTACATGAGATTCATAAACCGGCATTTTCATGATCAGCTGACAACTCCAACAAAAACAGCAATTTAACTGACAAATTTGACAAATAAGAACAAATTTATGAAGAAAAATGAAAATATATATCCTAATTTTCACTCCACATTCTAGAATATTACCTCTCACTACTAGACATTTAATTTTGTTTTGCTGTGGCTTCTTTGAAAAGCACTAGATTGCAAAATTGTAAAGAAACATGTTGAAACGCCATAATTCATGATAGTGGCTGTCAACATGCTTATCTGAAGAAACTCTAATTTCCTGTTTAATTTTCCTGTTACTGAACAACCAAAATTAATTAATTCCGCGAAACTCTGTTCCTTTCCCCTGCTTTTTCCTGTACACTGTCACCTCAAACAACCCTGTCATCAGTCACAAGTTAATGATTACGAGTCTTCCAAGTGAGTGTGTGATCACAAATAAAATGGAGGACATTTTTGATGGCCAACTGAAAAATATACTCAGCACAGAAAATATATGCTTAGCGAGAACAGGTTACCGACTAAAAAAGTCATGCAATGTATGTCACTTGTAACTGGTACCCAGCATCAATATGCTAAGAAGCAACTTCTTTTCAGCTGCTTCTTGAAATCGGATCTAGAGGAGACAGATGAACAACAACTTCTTACAAATCGTATCATTGGATGAGCGGTGGTGTACATGGTGGCGTGACCCCAATATGGTTGTTAGATTGACGTGTAAGGGTATACGGGCCGTACGGTTTCAGGTTACGTTGTCTTCTTATGATGAGATTGGAAATCAGTTCCTCTGGTAAATCTAGTTTGGCCATTTCGTGATTATTTTTGTCGTGGATAACCATTGAAGATTTGAGCTTATGTATGTGAACCTTTGACAAACGTGTGTACATGTGCATAACATACATCTTATTGATTTTTATTGACCAAAAAGACTTTACATTTAATTGTTTTAATTGCCCTTCAATTTGACATTTAGAAATAGGGCGATAAATGTGTGCTGCGCAAAAAAGTGCTTCCAAAAGAAATTTCAAAAAAAAAAAAAAAAAGATTCCTAGATATATACAAAAAATACAAGAAATAGAAGAACCGGTATGTTTGTTGAAGGAATTTCACTTACCATTAATTTTACAATCCTGCAACTTCAGATTTCTAAGACAATCATGTCGTAACTTTCTATTGGACGCTGAATTTTTATTGGATTACATGTATGTTGGGGGTTTAATGATCTTGAAAAACATACCGCCTTTGCTGCATCTGAATATCTAATTGATTTGGACAGGGTAGAACATTTAAAATAACAAGAAATTTCTTGACGAATGGAATTCTTTTAAACCGAGAACTATTTTCACATGGGAATGACAGTTCATTTATTCATGACCACCGTTCCACATGGACACAATGATAAAGCTCAAAAGTGTCAGGGTCCTATAAAATATTAGCAATGAATATAACATTAATGAGGCTCTTGGAAAAAACACTCACTACTTAAATATATGAATCATCCGCACTAAGGATCGTTAGCCTTGCCTCCAGCTGTCCGTATGCACTCATGAGTGGTATACTGCCAGTCTTGCCTACAGCCGTTTGCATACACTTACAACAGGCCAGTTGCAGCTGTGCCTCGCTCGATGCAGTCCAACGCCCTCATGCGAATGTTTGCCGGGCATCTGCCGAGATCACGTCATTGCGGAGTAATGAACTATTCATCAGACGGGTCTTGGGGCCCACTGAAGGGGTAGAGAGGAATCTCTTACAGTAGATAGGAGTGCTGATCTTGGGCATGATGTGTCCTAAGCTGTCTTATTTCTGTTAATGCACATACTGTACCGGTGCCTTATATTAATTAATGCATGTATGGGGATTCTGTAAGAAAAAAAAACAATGAGTTTGAAAACAAAAATGACTTTGATCTTTTCCATCATGTTAATTCTCTGTACTATAAAGTGTCCTCTTGTTCACTTTTTCCCCTCTCAATTCACGGATTGAACACATTGTTTCACACAAATTGTGGATCATTTCTCATACGATGGATTTCACTGAGTTGTCTTATAAATGTAAATTTGAATAATCTTAAGATTTGCAGGTTCATTTACATGTAATATGTTTCGCGGAAAAATTATGTTTGTATGTACACATGTACTATACGCGGGCGAGAATTAGCTACTCTGCTAATTTATAATGAAATCAATTATTTTTTATCTTGATTAAAATATAACACACACATTTCACTAATTTTTTAACAACTTCCAAGGACAAAGTTGAAGAAAGGTATTGAACACAACTATTCTTGAATTGTTTTGAAATCCTCAAAAGTTGAGTAAAGATTTTCCTGTGGTTTTTTTTTTTATTCTCATAAGAAAATTAACAACCAATTGGTAGGGCTACTTAAATCACATACGTGTACATTGTACATGAACAACAGAAGAGCAGTAAAATTGTGTTCTTTCTCCATTAGGCCCTACCGCCAGAAACCTTTTGCATTTGTTGCTGCAAATTACTGCCGAATCGCTCCGATATTGTGATAAGCGTTTGCCGACTCCATCTGATTTTTTGTTCTTGGCGCCAGTTTGTCTGGCACACTCTTATCGTCCAACCTTGGCCTTCAACGTTTTTATGTATCCATGGCAACCGTTCTTGATAGCTGGTTTGATGTCATCTTGCTGGTGAAGGGAAGGTTTTTCAGAGAATAAAGTAGGAAAAGGGCAAAAACAGTACGTGTGTACGTTAGCCATATTAGTTTCTTTTAAATTTTCAAGCCTTATTTGCATACATCTAGACTATTGCATAAAAATGCACTCGGCTTCTGTTTGTAAAATAATTGAATATTTAATAACCAACATCTGTTATCCTGCGATGCAGTGAATCTTTATGCTGTCATCTTGAAACAACTTTTCTAATTCTTACTGTGTTATAATTGAAATTTATTTTGTTCCTCGTACCTTTTGTTATATATTTGTAAACAGTGCTGTGAACTAATTTTTATTTTAAAAAAATACATTTATAAATCTTATCTGTTTATTTCTTTACACAGGTTACATGTTTGCCTTTTTTCCGTTTCTTTTTTAATTTTTGTCTCAGTGTGTGTCGTGGAACTCTCTAATCAAAAGAACAAAAAAAAATGTAGTTATCCTGGACACAAACATTAATTAATTAAAATTAGATTGATGTTTTATGCTTGATAAGGAATAGTGTACGTGATCATCATTGCATATAATCTTAGCCTGTCTTCGTCTGCTGTAATTAGCTGTGGTTTTTGACTCGGAGCAACCAACAAGACCTTGCTTCATCTGTGGATCCCCCCCCCCCTTTTTTCTTTCTCCCCTCGTTACCGTCTGGGGGTCAGTGCCGGCCAAGCTTCGTGACGCCAGCTGAATTGATCATTGATCTTAGACGTCTTAGCAATGTACACTTGGCGTTATTGATTAAACAGGAACAATTAATATCAGGGTAGGGAATTGTGTCTGTTACAGTCTAGCTTGCGCTCACTGGAAAAAATGGAAAGGAAATTTGTAATTGGATGCTTTAGATTATGTGTGTTTTTTTTTTCCAGTAAGGCAAGTGATTTTGATTTTAGTTCAAGTTTACCACATCATTCATCCAAGAAAAATTAACTACACTTTTGTGTCCTTTATACCCACAAGTTTTTTAAAATTAAGTTCCCAAAAAATATCATGAAATGCAGTACTCTTCACTTTAAAGATATGATCACTATGCAGCTATCATAACAGCATCATAAAATATCCACCCTTTTGAAAATATTTCCCTTCGAGGTTCGTGGAGATCGTGAGAGTGTTTCTCAAGTGATATAATGGAATGGGAAAAAAATTCAAGTACAGGGCTTCAAAATCAATAATGGCTTTTTCATTTGTTGAAATAATAACACGAAATTTCCTTTTGCAAGTCTGACGAATTTCATCTGCGCAAGAAAGCAAAATAAACAAGCCAGCCCCACCTGTAGCCTGTGGGAAATAAAGATGACTCATCCCCTCCTTCCAACTTCTTATGAGAGCGATCAAAATAGAGGTTTCATATTTCAGATCTCGGTTTTTCAGTGAGAATACCCACAAAGGAATAGGGGCTCGTAATAAGGCCACCCGTTGTTTTTGTTTCGGAGGTACATGTACATGTAAAGGCGGAATTGCATCTTGCGCATAGTTCCAGATGGACTTACTGTTTTGAAAATTTCGGGACAGCTAGAATAATTTTTCAGGGTCCAGAAAATTTATTAAGTGTCCGGCCTCGCCATGTCTCACGAGACTTGATATTTTTAAACCTGGAATTTTTTTTTATTATGGGGAGATTTTTCAGATTATTGTTGTAGGGAGGATCCAGACGATTTTGTTTTCTTTGTGCATTTCTAAAGGTCATGTCTTTTGGAAAACATGGGAACATTTTAACTGGTGTTAGGATATGACTATGAAAGCACATGTAAAAGGAAAATAGGAAAATGTACTCATTCGAAGGTGGAACTTCAGAGTTGTAGGGAGGGGAAGGAGATGAAAAGGCAGGGGGTGGGGAAGTAAACTATTAAGGGATTGGGGGGGGTGAAATAGCTGTCAACACTTTTTTGTTCATGATGCGTGAAACATCTAGTAGACAATACCGTATGTTTTTAAATGAAATAAAAC